GTGAAAACCACGCAGAGTAATTGCTGCCGTTAGAGACCCGCGTGGTGGCTGCCCCTGTAAACTAACTACGGGGGAAAGTGCGGGGCTCCTGGGGGTCCTAGGGATGCTTGCTGTTGTTTGTTTTAAGATCTATGCTAATTATACAATCTTATTTAGTTTGTAAAAATTCACCAAGCTCTACACTTCCATTCTGTGCACTTAAACTTAGATGTAGAAGTTATAAAAAAACAATCTTGTACACACTTCTTCTAACAACCCCACCCCATAATTACTCACCATTGACTTTTTAGTTCTTGTCTTCCTAGATTTTTCTGTTCATATGAATAAATATAAGGACGAACTGCTCTCTCTCTCTCTCTCTCTCTCTCTCTCTCTCTCTCTCTCTCACACACACACACACACACACACACACAGAGCTATCTATAGCTTTACAGAAATGGCACCATCTTTTACATACTGCCTGCAGCCTGCTTTTTTAACTTACCAGTATGCTGAGGGAGCCATTCTGTGGCACTGTGGATGTAGATGAGTCTTTTCAGCAGTTACACGGTCTTTTATTGTGGTGATGTGTCATTTAATTAACTGGTCCTTCATCGATGGGCAGTTAACGCCAGCATCTCATTGATGGGAACAGTACAGTGGGGGACCCCTTGGTGCACAGCTTTGTGTTCTCCTGTGATTGCTTGTGTAGAATGGACTCGTGAGAGTGGGATGCCTTGGTCTGAAGTGGTGTTTTAATCTGTTAATGGCTTGTGGGTGGTGGGTTGGAGGCAGCTCAGAAGCCATTTAGAGTTCAAGCCTGAGGTAGCAGGGGTGCTTGGCTGTGAAGATGGACACGAAGGGGTATCTTATACTTATATACAGTATAAGGGGCAAAGCCTTTGCAAGCCCTGGAACACGATAAATGAGAGAAAAAGCCTCTGTAATCCTGGGGGGTTCTGAGTCTGGGGGCACATGGATTAGAAGCTCATTGGAAGAAGAAAGCCCATAGCAGACTGAGCTTTCTGTAGGTTGAGTCCAGGGACCTGGTTCTCTTCCCTATGGTGATGGAATGCAGTAGCAATAAACACAGGCTTAGGGGCTGTGACTAGTGTAGGGCTC